TACCACTTCGTGTAGCACTATTTCTGAATGCTTCTATTTCCTGACCGTGGGTCCCTATTTAACAGCCAGAAACAATCTTCTTCAATAATAGTATGAGTGATGTCGGCCCTGTGCGTCAGCGCAAATGAAAATAGCTCTTGATCTGCTCCTCAAGGCTATAGATGTCACTTCGTGTGTCCTGGGCTGACATGTTATTTTTCTTGACAACTACTTCATGTGCCAAGTCACGTCGCTTAGCTCGATCGTAAGGCTGCGTTTATACTTTGCGGCAGCGTAGCGTAGCGCTTCCAGCGTACGCCAGCGGCAGTGTCGGGGAAAGGATAGATATCGATCTAGCGTTCCCAGCGTCACCAGCGTACGCTAGCGTAGCGAGGGCACGGGAAGCATAGCTATCGATCTAGCTTCACCAGCGTTTCTCCAGCGTTTTCCCAGCGCTTGCAGCGACGGGGCTAGAGAGGGGCTAGAGAGTATTGAAGGGAGGAGAGTATTTTGTATGAGAGTATTTTGGGGGACCACGACACATCGACAGCTGGGGGGGGGCTGATAGTCTCATACACCCTCAATGTGTTTGAGCGTACCATGTGTCTTTAAGGTTTCAAGAACGGTTCGCTCCCAGGGTGCAGCATTGTTGGGCGGACATTGTATCATTTCAAGGGATCGGACTTGGTCGTTGGTGAGAGAGGTTCAATTGGTACTTCCGATAGATAGTTGGATCTAACCATAAGGGGTTGATTGGGACTCCTCCTCCCACCACGGCAGTTTTGCCCGTGAAGTTTCCCGTAACCCAAGAAATTTTTCGGAAAGTCGAGAAAAGTGGTAGGAAATTGTGAAATTCTGGGTATGGAAGGTAAATAGGGAGGGGAGGGGGGTCGCACCGGTCCGACCAGTTGAGGGAATTCTGAGGGGGTCGTTCTAACCCCGCCAATTCACACATCACGATACTGTACACTACTTTCCCTCTTCCCCTTTGTAGAATCTGGGCCGACAGGAGAAAGACCCCTGTCTTAGAACTAGAGTGGGATTAGACGATCTTTCCCACAGTTTTCGAAGACCCAATAAAATTCCATGTCTAGAGTACTAGAGGGTGAAAAGAAACAGCACCTGAACAAGTTCCTAAGCTTCGTCGACGGCTGAGAAATCGGACTCATTCGCTTCAGAAGAGTCGCTATCTTCGGCATAAGTACACCAAGATTTCCAGCACTGGTAGACATCTGAAGAATAGTTTTTCCCTGAGGACCAAATACTGGTGCAACTACTAAACTGGATAAAATCGATGGTTAGACATATGTACAACAAATACTAGGACAAATGAATACTGTTAGTTAATCTTGGAAAAAAGACTTAAGAAATCCACAAAACTCAAGCAACACCACATCTACGCCATTCAATTGGCTGAACAAACCTTATACGAATTTGACGAAGTGGATAACGCCACTATTGTTAGCTGAAAGCATCACGAGACATTTTAGGGCATGCTTCTGGGAACCACGTAGAACTTGGAAAGATCAGTTGGGACAGTAACCAATTCCAAAAAATGACACTTTCATCTTCCGGTCAGATTTCTCTTCTGCCCAATCCGGGCTCTTCGAAAACGCTTTTTCGTGTTAGCGATTAGAAAAAACGTTTCCCGAAAACGAAATGTAAAAGTAATGGTCTGTGGGTGATAGTGAAAATAGAGCACTGTTCGGCTTGGGAGGGGCACTTTGCACGTTCGCCAAGTCACTTTTGCTAATTCCTTTCAATTATGCGTCACATATTGTTGAGGTATGTACATTCTTGTCAAAAGCAAACGAAGCCCCTGCTAGGCAAAGCCCTAAAGGAATTTACGGGTCCTCACAGGAGTCATCGACAGTGCTCGATGGGATCAGCAAAATGCCCCCACCAAGTCGAACTACTCCAAAATAGTCATGGAGACAAGCGCCAACACATTTTAACTCCTATGTTACCGAATCAAAGACATCTGCTGCCGATGCAAGCCGTGAAGGGTGCAATTCAGCTGTAGGGTAAAGGAGCTGCCCAGATTTCTCGCCATACTAGTTGACACGGATAGCGAAGAGTAACGATCAGGATTCAATCGCTGTGAGGAAAGGCCATGTTAAAACAAAAATCTACTACCACATCGAAACAAACGTGAAGCAGAGGATCGTGAACATTAGCCAGAGCCGTTAAATGACACGCAAGGCCGACCAGAGTATACATGCTATACAGAATGCCGAGGTAGATAAGGCCCTCGGCTTTCGAAAAGGTCATTCAGCAGGCCTCTACCGTTCTTACAAACACTGCAGATTTCGAAGGATGATCACTGTAAGTACATTATTGACCCTGTTTCATCTTTTATCATGGAAAACAATCTTCTGGTCGACAAGATAATGGCAAATGTCGTCTGGTTGAGTGAATGTGTCTTTGAATTCTGTACATAGAGGTGTTGGAATTATGGTGCGTGCATGGTACTTTTGAACATGTAAATGTCAGGTTTGTCAGTTTTGAGAGGGGAGTGTAGTCCTCATCGATGGAAAAAGCAAACCAGAGTAGAACTGAATTCAAACAAGCACAAAAGAGTGCCTGTGTTGAGTGCGAAAGGATTTGTAAGATAGCTCGATGTGGTTAAATTATCTACGGAAAGTTATGACAATAACAAAGCCACGTGCTCTGAAGAGTCAGGGGAAATGAGTTAGTAATTCTGTGGAATTCGCCAGAAATAAGGCCAAAAATCACATCTTTTACCTTAACTGTGCTCTTGGAAACCTTCTCTCCAACACGCCTGCCTTCAATACCGAGCTGAACGAACAGTTCTAGTAGTCGTACAAGTAACGCTAACTGATCTTCTCCTTCAGCTACACCGTCAGCCATTCGACCCAGAGCTGTGTCAACACTCAATGAGACATGCCTGCAATTTAAGAAGAAAATAAGCCAAATATCGTAGACAAAAATTTTTGAGGACGATTGTACCCTTTTTAGTCACACTGTTGCCGGTTGCTAGAGAAAGCAGGGCTCATTCCATTTTACAATCAGCTCATGTTCTGCCTTTGAGGGGCATTTCTCCAAATTACAACCCGTCCCTCAGAATTTCTCCTCCTAACTGATTTCTCCCTCCAGGACTTTTCTCCCACATCCCCCTCCTGCTCACCAACTTCCTAGGTTTTCCCTGCCGCCGGATAGGAGGGACGAACGTGGGCAGAGGCAGGGATATAGCGCGTTTGCGGAGAGAACGTTTCTTTCAGAGACGAATCTCTCTCTCTCTCTCTCTCTTCTCTCTCTCCCCTCCCGTGACTAATTGAGGGCCCCCTCGCCAGGGATCCCCAACGTACGGCGAGCCCGTCCACAAAGCAGGCACTCCTCGAGCTGTCGCTATTCCCTCCTACTGTTTTCCCACCTGGGCACAACATCATAGTTGTGAAAAATTTCCGCTGAAAACGACCTGCACCCTCCTCCCTCCTCTCCTGTCGAGTGTTTCACCTTCCGTATGCCACTACACCTACTTACCCTCTCATCTCTTCCTGAAATTCAACCGTAAGAGAAGGGTGGGGGGGGGTAGACACATTCCATCCGACCAGGATTAACGAATGTTCTGCCACTACGATCACTGGGAGAGGCAACAACAACAAAAACTCCGAGGCCAAATATGACCCCTCTTCTCCTCAGCGCCCAAGTAGGACCCCGTTGCGTTATACGTAACGATGGTGTGCCCTCTTCTCCGCTGTACTCTGCAACGCTACCCTCTGCTCGTCGGCATATTCCACGCTGATTGCACGGGCGGAGTCACACCACCACTGTACCACTGCGCCTTCCTCACTGATGCGTCACCCTTCTTTGCCATCTTAGATGGAACAGCCCCTCAGTGGGAAGGTTTCAGCAATTTGAGCGACTCCGCCCACACTTCCTGCATGGAATGCCTTTAACGCCCGACGCCCACAGATACTCACGCATATCGATGTTCTCCCACAGATACCGGCTCCTGTGAGTAGACGCGATTACTGGATTCAATCGAAATCTGCGTGAACAACTTCATCACTCCGTCGTAGATCGATCGCTGCAAATAGTTGTTTAGAGCCTCAAGGATTACATCTTCAAACCAATCAAAGAACTCCTACCGCTCCGGCGATCCACATATTCGCTAAACAACGAATCATAACGTTGTCCAGTGGGGATGGCGGATTTGCGAATCTAAAATGTATGCCAATCGTGTTTGTACAGAAACAAAACAGATTCCGAAGGAGAATCAATAAAAAGGCTGTTTTTCAACTTGCTCAACAACAAACCTTCAGAATTATACTTATCTTATGTGGGTTACCATTCGATGTCTTGTTTACAGGCTTGACTTAGCCGCGAGAAGCAGAGGAACTACGTGACTTTACTACATGGAAAAAAAGAAGCGAGAAACTTCCCCTCCTCCCCCCCCCTCCGAGTGTAGTTCCGCTATTCAAAGCACTAGTCCCTTAACGGACATGGAAATCCCAGATTCATCCAACGCTCTTGCCAAAACAGAATCCTGGCTCTTGTAGAGACTCCCTTCTGCTCTTCAACTCATTTACTTTCACAAACTCATTTACTTTCAGATGCATTCAAGACCGCCTTCCACATATCACAACATCGATTGTTTATAACTCCTGTTTTCTTCGCACGGAGCGGAGGTGATGAAGTGGCAGAAGCAGCTTTTCACACCCACGGCTCAGGGTTTGAAAGGGGGATGGCGCTCATCATTGATGAGTGAAACCGATCAGGGGGTCGTATTTGAGTCGCTGGGTTGGAGGAGGTCGTAATTGGATTGGAGAGGAATTTTGGCGCAATCCGGCTAGTGGGGGCACCGAGTGGTACTCAGCTGAACTTGTAAAAGCATCCTGTGAAAAACTGTAAACTATGTGATCAAAGTGGACCACTCGACAAACGTCACAGCTTCACAAAAAATTTCGGACCTGGCCAAGGTGGAACCTGTTAACTAACATGAACGAATAAAAGGAACTAGCAAACGTGCAAAATGCCCCTTCCAAGCCGAAACCAGTTTCCAATTAATTACTTTTTCTTTGGGTTCACGAGCGCTTCTACCCCACTTTTAGCTGGGCGGCGCAGCAACTACTAGTTCTGACTTCTGATGGTTGACGTCTAAATTTTAGGGCATTCCTGTAGGATGGTTGGTTGGTGTGTGAGAAGGAGTCGTATAGCAGGAAGATATCGTGGGGCGGGGGCATACTGGCATCGCCATTCAATCCATCCCGATGCTGTACTCTGATCCCGGATCGGCCCCGTCCCAAGCAATAAAGCCATCCATCTCTCCCACACTAATGACCAGAAATGAGTTGAGCAATACTGGAAGCTCTGTTATGGGCTTTACATTCCTTTGACTTTCTCTGAACTCATGTTGAAGTTAATATTCTTCTTGGTGAACCTATTTTGCTCAACACATGGCCCTAATTTGAAGTGAACCTTTGCAGTATTTCAAGCGCAATGCAACGATTTCGACCGCCAAGCAGCATTTGAAATATGAAACATATGAACATAAATTAACCTTTGAAGAAATATTTGAAGAAACGCTGTCGGCACCGATCTTTCGAGCTACCAGCGGCCACACCAGCACCGATTCCTCCATAGTGTTCAATAGATTAGCTTTCTCACACACCAAGGTCCAGCAACTACTAAACCAATTAATAATCAGCAAAAAATAAATCAGCAAAGTGAAGCCATGCAGAAATGAGCAAGCATGAATAATTTTTTTTTTTTTTTTTTTTTTTTTATTTTTTTGGTCGCTATGTCCCAATAGAGGAACCAGGTGAGGACACAATTGTACGTGGGGGAATACCCAGGTGGGAGGCGTCGGTATCTACTGGCCGGTGAGAAAGGGGGGGGGAAGAAGAAGGTCGATAGTAGGCGCAGTGAGTTTTCTTTCGAAAATAGCTGATAGCTCGTATGTTTGCAGCGCGCCTTGGTCTATATTCTGAGCAAGAAACATATCGCATAGGTGATAGAACATTTTGCCTGCCCCCCTTCCCCTGGTATGGGAGCGTCGCCAAAAAAATTTTAGAACAACTGCTAATCCCGGAGTTGTAGGAAAAAGAAGAAAGTTTGGTGGCGACCACTACCCCCTCATCTTTTCCACGGTAAATAGAGGTAAAAGGGAAAAACCGAAAAATATTAGAAAAATTCTAGTAAAAACCAGTAGGGTTGGGTTCAGCTTGGCAAATGTGGTAGACAGGATGGGGAAATGGACAGAGGAGGAAATCTGGGCTGGTAATGTTATCCGAAAAATTCCTCCAGCGACAGAAAGTGTCCTGACCCAAGTCCTGAAGAGGCATACGACAAGAGTCACGTGCCTAGGGGTGTACGTATTAAGCGAATATCGGGCGTGCGGTCGCGCTGCAGTGTACGTGTTAACACGCGTTGGTAGACAGCTCAACTAATTGTTCACAGCACACGTTCAATAACCACCCACGCGAAGCCCTGCTAATTCTACAACATCCCCTGGTTTATCAGTCACCGTAACCAGTATATTTACATTTGACAAAATACATGCAAGCTCAATAATATCCAATTACAAATTTTTTGCTCTTTAATGGGATGCTAGTGTAGCGTTAGAGAATAAGCAAAAGCTGAACTTAGCAGCCTTAGGTACGTGCAAGTTAGTTAAATGAGCATCTACATGCATGAAGAAATTTCAGATGTTAGTTTTATTTGCATGTCGGGGGCCAGTTGGGAGATCCACGTCGACAGGGTGCGAGTGTAGCCACGTGCGCGGCATTCGCACCATGAGCTAATCGATCTAACACACAACGAGGAAGTTCTACAGGACGTCGAGTCACTATGAGCGAAATAGTAGCAAAAGTTGTGTAGGCTGTCGCAACGTGGATCTCCTGACCAGCAATCCCACAATTCAAATGACAAGTAAGAACGGTGAGTTGCTCTCCGCAATTTTTTTAAGGCGATAATGACCCACCGATCTGCTGCGTGGAAATTTCTGTAAACAAAAGGAGGTTTGATGTCAAGAGGAAAAGTTTTACAGTCGAATTCAGTTGCTATAATATCCCTCACCACAAGTGAATGCAAAGTGAGAGAACCTTAGCGACAGGGGGTTGCGAGTGTCGTCACGTGTGCGGCATTCGCACCAAAACCTAGTCGATTCATCAAGGAAGTGCTACAGTAAAAGTCCGCTAAACCCAGGGCACATCGTTGTTGGGGATTCCCGACAGTGGGGTCGTATTTGGGCCGAGAAAAATTTATTTTGATAGTTGACTTTTCTTATTTCACGGACGTTGTAAAGGGCGGTGGTTTCTGAAGAAGGTTGCCTGACTTTTCGCGATTTTTCCTGCCTCATGTGTACTATATTCCCCCCCCGCCTTCCGCTCGACAACAAATTTTCTGTGTAAAAGTAAGAAAATTTGCGAAAATTCCAGATAAATTCCGGATAAAGTGGTAGGAAGATGGGGAAAATCTAAGAAATGGTGGAAGAGGGGGTCATATTTTCCTCGCGGCTGCGCACGTTTCTACTCCCCCCCCCCCGCTCGACAGCTGGATGAGGAGGGAACCAGGGGGTCGTAATATCCCCCTAACAAGGTGTGTGGGGGGGGGGGGGTACGAACTCGACCAAAACTGCTAACTAATGATGTGCCCTGACCCAACCTCCCGTGAATATTCGCAGACCACTGCACATGTTCGCTGCGGATAATGGGGGCTGTCAAGGTCCCGTTTTTGTCTATCTGGAAGTGTTTTGTCTATCTGGAAATGCAAGACTGTATAAAATCGTTCAAATCAGGCGCTTTTCTTAAGTTGTTGCCGCTCCAGGTGGATAAAGGACGGGCTGGTAGCGCGCCCCCCCTTGACACGCCCCATCACCCGCATCGAACTAGACTGTACTATTTGCATTTTCTCTATACTGACTTGGAAGAAAGTTCGCGACATTGAGCAAGGCAATTGTCTGGCCCCGCCCACATGATCAAAGTAGATTACGCTTTCGTTTGAAAAAGTGACAATGACTTCGTTGTTTTCAACGTAGTAGAGCGCTCTTCGTGAAAAAACGCAAGTTCCTTTTAACATCGCGTTCTCACGAATAACGAAGGGACATCACAACTGAATCCGACTGTATATTCCAACAGAAATAATGTTATTCCGCACATCGCAAAACAGAAAATAAACAAAAACAATCAAACCGTAGACCAATGTGGAAAAGAACTTACAAATTATTGGCACTGGAACAAACGAAAAGCTTGGAGGAGAGGCTAGCGAGACACGCTTGTACACTGTCCGCATCCACACTCAAGGAAGATTTTAGAGCCCTAGAATTTACTAAAATTATAAGGTAGACTATAGAATTACAGAGTATTACAGTTACTACCACGTAGTGTTCATGTTCGGTCCACAGGGGTCGTATGTGGCATATCTGGCCTTGACAGAGACCCCACCCCCTCCCTACTATGCGCCAACTTTTCTCGGGGAAAACCGGTAGGGAATTGTGAGAATTTGGAAGCAAGGTCGGTAAGATGGGGAAAAGGGGGTCATTGGAAGAGAAACTTTGGGGAGTCGTGATTTCTCCATTTCACTTCTTACATCTCATTTTTTTCATCTCACAACGCCATTTCTCTCATCCCGATGTTGTACCTAGGCTGGCTGTCCATTGAAAAACCTGGCAGCCTTTTTAGGACCTTTACCCAGGGGCTGTGTACAGCCTCCTTAGCCGCGTTCATCCTTGCAAATGGAAAATAACCTCGAATTCGAAAAAAAAACAAGTCATTTCATAAAAATTTAACATAAAAATAAGCGAATAGCAAGGCGTATCAGCCCTGTAGAAACCATGATGCTGTGATAACGAAATAGATAGGAACCAATTTGGTCCGACTCTCCGAAATTGAGCAGATTCCCCAAAAGCGCTAGTTAGTGGGGTCAACCAACCCCTAGTTATCCCTTTGACGTCCGTTCTCCCGGATTCCGCAAATCTATACATATTGTCCTCAAGGCACGTCGTACACTGGTGATGCTCTGCCAGGAGGGCTGCATTCGGTGTCACTGGACGGAGACAGATAGGGTCGTACTTGCTCTCCAGGAAAATGCTTGTAATTGTCGGCTTACTTTTCTCAGTCCTCCCCCTCTCGACGGCAGAGGTAAAATTCGGGAAGATGGTAGGTGGAACGGGTAATGAGAAATGAGGAACTTTTGAGGGGGGAGGGTGGTATTTTGCTAAAATTTTCCCCTGTGGCAGGACCTGCCGTGACTGTCCTGCTCGCGCCCTTGGACTTGTAGACTTCTCCCAAATTCAAAGTGTAGCTTTCAGATAGAAAACAGTTTGATAAATGAAAGGGTACCTGCACAGGGCATCTATAGCTGTATTGCGCAAAGCATCCAGGGCAGCCTTTCTTTTGGCTGAACTTTCTTCTTGACGCCTCTCTTCATTTTTTCTTTCAGTCGACTAAAATCAAATAAAATAAAGTTTTAACATCATGTAGATTCCTAAACTAAGGGAAACAATGACAAACCAGAATAATAATAAAAATGTCTACAAAACGTGAACAATAAACAAATATAGATGAAAAGCAGCATCAAAATGTGGCTTACAGTTTCCGATGATAATTTAGCTAGAATAGGTGCAGGTTCGAGCAGAAATCGTGATAAAATCGGAACCACTGTTGCTGTCGCGACAGACGGGAATTTCTCCGCAAGCCCTATAAGATAAGTGCTTAAAATGAAAGATAACAACCAAAGGAAGTTCCACACTCTGGGTGCCTAGGTGCCAACACTGCAAGTCACCCAAGATGTCTTGGTAGGCTTGTAGTATTGGTGAGCACCGTTCGTAACTGAGAAGTAACCTACTGCCGTCTAGGAGCACCCAGACACGTTGTATATCAGGGAATCCCTAGCGGAAAGAGGGGTGACGCCGTATTGCTCGGTAGAGGAAGGGTGGCCATATGTGATGTATGATAGTTTTTCCTGTTTCACGCGCACAATCTATTAGGTTGTTCGGAAAGAAATGCGCGTTGAAGCGCGTTGAATTTGTCCATTTATTTCTCTCCTACTATAGAAGATTTTTCAAAACAGTTTTGTCTATTAGAAAGAGATTTTTATTGTGCATCTTCTGCTATATTTTTTTCTATGTCCACTTTGTTTTTTTGAAG